AAAGGGACTCCAGTGCCCAAAAACAACATAAAAATATTTAAAACAATATCAGATCTTTAAGCAACATTACTGACCTCATGCATTACTAAATTCCACATGCCAAAATGTCCCATTACACAATGAAACCCGGCTAAAGCCGATAGACAGATGTTTTGCCCTTCCCGGGTTACACAGCCATACACAACTGAGGCCAACCAACAAGGGGGGGGAACACCCTATACTACTCAGACAACTAAATGTAAACACTAAATTGCACAAGGGATGAACATGGGGGAAAAATAAACAAATTCAAAAACCAAGTACCTACAAAAACCCCTCACATTGAAAACATCTTAAGTTTTCCCCATCAAACATTAGCCAATTTGTCAAAATCTAGGGGTATATAACTAGCACCATGAACAAAGATCACTTACTACTCTCAGGTGACTTCAATATAAAAACTCCTGCAAAACCAGGGCCCCCACGTTACTGAATTTACAAAACAATGGGAACTGTATGTTTCTACCAACAGTAACAAAACCTACAAAAATTTCAAGGGCTATGTTTTCCCCACTTTTACCCACGGACCCCACCATAACCCCCCTTTTAAAAACGGCATAATTACAATAAAACCACAGACCCTACCCTAAATTTCCCCTAACAACTCTTGGAAACTACCCCAAAACACTACTAAAGTCCCTTCAGACTTCACAATGGGCACCATTTAATAACTTCACAAAAGCAATAGCAAACTTGATGGCAACTGACTGAAACCTAAAAAAGATATTTACGAATGTATTAATAATTTTCTAAAAAACACCCAATACCTCATAACAAGCACTGCCCTAAAAAAACAAACAAAGACAGCAAAGAGACGAACATCCCGGGTAACACCCACATTCCAAATCCAAAATACAAAACACCAATATGAAAAACAGTACAGAAGGGGCACAAACCAGAGACCAAAAAAAAAACGGGTTACTCTCAAACCTAACCCGCCATAAGAAGGGCAAAAAAAATTTTATTTTGAAACAGATTATCCCAAATTACGAGGTGAATAAAAAAACCTGGGAAAACCCTATCAGAAATTCTGGGAACAAAAAAGATATCACGAAAAGCAAATAAAATTAGCAAAAACAGAGAACCCCCCAAATCCCAACAACAGAAACACAAACAGACTCAAGATTTCTTCCCAAAATAGGACAAAAACCCTTTCCAAAAAAAACCAAGCTCAATACCCCACCAAAAGATACCTCACCGGGGCGCCCCCAGGGTGGGGGAGGGGGGCTAATAAACATATTAAAACCCAACCGCAACAAACCCGAACACACTGTTCCAGCTCCGACTAACCCATACGAAGTCTCCCTTATTATCAACGCACTAAAAAACAAGGCAGGAGATTTAAATACCTTACCACCCTTTATATACAAAAAAGTGTCACAAGTGCTATCACCAATCATTGCAACACTCTTTAACAAATCCATTGAATCCTCCACCTTCCCTACAGTACTCAAAATAGCAAGGGTCACCCCGATCCACAAAGGAGGAGACCAAACAGAGTTGAATAACTACAGGCCAATATCCAACTTACACCCTCTCTCAAAAATCTTTGAAAAATTAATTAAATAAACGAATCTACCCCTACCTTATCTCCCAAAACATACTCAAACCCCTGCCAATTTGGATTCAGGCCTAATAAAAATACTAATGATGCTATTATACACATGCTAGAACATATATACACTGCAATAGAGAAAAAAGAAGTCCCACTGGGGATCTTCATTGACTTACGTAAAGCTTTTGATACAGTTGACCATGACTTGCTCCACGTAAAATTGTCACACTATGGTATAAGAGGGCACTCCTCAACTACCTCAAATCATACCTCAGCAACAGAAGCAATATGTGTACGCAAATGGGGCAAACTCTTCTGCGCAACCAATTACAGTTGGTGTCCCACAGGGAAGTGTCCTTGGCCCTCTTCTCTTTCTCCTATACATAAATGACCTTCCAAATGCTTCGCAATTACTCAAACCCACACTATTTGCAGATGACACTACATACGTCTTCTCTCACCCGAGCCCAGTCACGCTAGCCAATACTGTAAATACCGAATTACAGAAAATATCTACCTGGATGAGGACTAACAAACTTACACTAAACATTGACAAAACCTACTTCATTCAGTTTGGTAACAGAGCTACAGATGTCCCTCTTAACATAATGATAAACGGATCACCTATCACAAAACTAACAGAGGGAAAATTCTTAGGAATCCACCTTGATAATACTCAAATTTCATACACATATACAACAAATTTCTAAGAAAATTTCCAAGACTGTAGGCATACTATCGAAGATACGGTACTATGTTCCACAGTCAGCCCTCCTGGCCCTATATCACTCTCTTATTTACCCCCATCTCACCTATGGAATTTGTGCATGGGGCTCAACAACAATTAACCATCTCAGACCAGTAATTACTCAACAAAAGGCTGCAGTTAGAATGATAAATTCTCACTACAGGCAGCACACTCCACCAATATTCAATACACTAAACCTACTCACCATACAAAACATCCATACTTATTACTGCACCTATTACATACATAGAACACTTAACTCTGATATTAACCCTCCCCTCAAACATCTCCTTGCCAACCTCAACAGAACACATGACCATAACACAAGGCACAGATCACTTTGATGTTCCTCGTTGTCCATCTCGCCACTATGCAAAAACTCAATGCACATAAAAGGCCCTAAAATCTGGAATTCATTACCTGTAAATATAAAAGAAACACTACCTGTTTATAAATTCAAGTCTCTTCTCAAAGATCACTTACTCACCCAAAACCAAATAAATACTGAATAACTGAACCTTATAAATTGTATATCTTAAATGTTTCTCACAATTATATCACATAAATGTTAAACCTAAAACCGAATCTAACTTTATTATTTTTTAAATACACTACCTAACAGAATCACTACCTAACTGAATGCAACCATATGACCTGTCTTTGTAATACTCACTTGTGCTTTAAAGTAATCTGATTACAATGTTTTATCACTGATTTCATCATTGCTTAGTTAATCTTAAGTTAATTTTAAGCCAGCCCGTAATGCTATGCATAGTATAAGTGGCTTTGGCATGCTGCTCTTATCTGTATTTTTTTGTACCTCTGTATATGTACTCAAATTTGAAATAAATAAATAAATAAGATACAGAATCTTTACTACTACGGTGCTCTCAACAACTCCAAGGCTGATTACCTCATCTTTTGTATATAGTTCTACTGTCTTTTAATCATGTCCTAGAATCTGTATTGATAAAGTCACTGGATGGCGAAACGTCTACAGTAAAGATAACCAGATGTTGAACATGTGTCTTAACTCTCACCGTGTCGGTATTGTATACCTTCCTTGCACAAGTTGTACAAGAATGGCATACAATACCGACAAGATGAAATTAAGAAACGTGTGCAACATCTGGATATCCTTATTGTAGAAGTTTCGCCATCCAGTGGTTTTATCAATACAAATTCCAGGACAATGTGAAGACAGTAGAACTATATACAGTAGTTGAGGTAAACAATTGGTGCTCCTCGCACCAATTCCAAGACCGAGGGACTGATTACCTCATCTTCTGTATATAGTTCTACTGTCTTCAAATTATGTTCTGGAATATGCCACTAGATACCCAGATGTTACACATTTATCTTAATTCAGACAAGTCTTGGGCTCCCCATATGGTCTACAAAACTCGTGTAGAATGCTCACGACAGTGGAGAAATAGGCAAAGGAAAAGTTTAAATTTGGGTGTGTATGGTGTGGAGAGGTGAAAAGCCACCATAACGATAGTTATTTCTCTATGGTGAATGTGAAAGGTTTCAGTCGCTACATGAGTCAATTGGGATCATACTAATCTTGAGTCAGCAAAGAGACCTGTGCCACACAGCGAAGACGTTCCTATAGCAATGTTTACAATACTGCCTGACCTGTTGCCAGATATTGAAGAAACTCAGGGTTTAGGATGTAACACAGGTGATAGCAGTAGAGGTGAATATGAAGCAAACACTTCAACACTTCAGCAGTTATTCCAAGAAGATTTTAATGATCTGGTACGTGACCTCAGTCTGTCAAAGCAAGCATCTGAACTTTTAGCATCTAGTGTCTAGACTAGAAAATATAAAAGGTCTGTCTACACCTTATCAGACAAGAGAGATTGAACTCCTTCATCCGTGATGAACTTGTATACTGTAATAACATCCCTGAACTTTTTTTTTTTTTTTACCAGGAGATTGGAGGCTGTTTATAGACAGCTCCATTATAAGCTTGAAAAACGTCTTATTGCACAAACTTACCCTAAAATCGGTATAATGTCATTGGCCAGAAATGTTTACTTAATATTCACTTTCACTACTATCACCTGTGTTACATAATATAATAATAATAATAATAATAATAATCATAATAATATAAAATAATAATGCACACCTAGCTGACATCGATGACATACTATATAGAAAGCTCTTTCTTATCCAGAGCATTTCGGGCAAATTAGATTAATTTTGTCCCCAGGATGCGACCCACACGAGTCGTCTAACACTCAGGTACATATTTACTGCTCGGATAAAAGGGACAGTAGATATCTTAAGGAAACACGTCCAAATGTTTCCGGGCATCGAACCATGGACCTCAGTGTGTGAGCCGAGTACACTACACAGTAGATCAGGGTCTGATCAACCAGATTGCTACTGCCTGCCCCACACAATCCAGGGCATGAACCACACCCCGGATGGTCAGGTACTGACATGATTATTTTATTTAAGTAAATACTTTGTGTGATGAATGGTTTAGAAAACCGACAAGTTGAAGAATTGAGACACTTATGCAACATATGGGAATCTTTATTGAAGAAACTTTTCGCCACACAGTGTGGCGAAACGTTTCTTCATTAAAGATTCCCATATGTTGCATAAGTGTCTCAATTCTTCATGTAAATACTTTATATATACCTGTAACTGCGGCATGACATTTGTTGTTCAAGTTGAACTGGAACACCAGAGCTGATGATGAGTGAAGGATGGCAGGAGTGATGTCTTCCTGCACTTCATAACTCCTCAGTGAAGGTGGTGGAGTATATGGCAGCAGTGTAGGGCCAAGTATGATGATCTTCAGTGTGCGGCCTGGGTGCCTGTACACACATAAGGAAAGTTTTAACAGTGTTTACTTGTATACTTGTAATTACAAGTGTTAGAAGTGAGTAATTGGACTTCCAGCACTGAGACGCTAACTTACTGTATGAAAACAGTTACAAAGACTGACGGAACAGACACAGAATCTGTTTAGTAAGATCTAGAAAGACATACAAAATTAATTTTAATCATGTTATACCAACCCCAAACTTGGAGAACGATCAAGGGAAACTTGTTGCACAAATTTCTAATATTTTGCTACACAATAATGTAATACCTATAAGTCTATGGGATTTTAATCTTAAGTTAAATTCAGAATTATTTGACTGGTAATTTAAAGTACAATAACTTCCTTGTGCTTGACCTGGTTTTGGCTAATATAAACTGGGAGAATGATAAGGAAAACGTTAAAAAGGTCCCAGAATGTCACTCTGCAGATAATTATGGACTTAGGGAACACTGTCTAACATTGACTGGCTTTACCAGGCTAGTAATTATATCGACGAAAAATTTACAAGCAGTAACGAAGCAAATTACCGAAATATTTTTTTTTTAATAATGCAAAAGCCACAAAAAAATATATTTCCACATGAGAAATTAAATGAAATAAAAATTATCCAAAGTGAACGAAGAGACTAACATCTTGTGAGAAAAGAAGCATTTAGGAGAATGTACAGAAGAGGATCACATCATGAACCATTTTGTGGTTCATAAGTGACCTGAAAGAGAAATATTTTCATCTCCAACCATCACTGTCTTCCCAGAGCAGCGTCGACACTGTAACTTAGAAGTTCCTCCACACTAAAGAATCCCACCCATCCTTCAGAGTGTCCCCTACACTGAAGTATCCCCCCACCAATCCTTCAGAGTGTCCCCCACACTGAAGTATCCCCCACCCATCCTTCAGAGTGTCCTCCACACTGAAGTATCTCCCACCCATCCTTCAGAGTATCCCCACCCATCCTTCAGAGTGTCCTCCACACTTGGAGTTTACTTGGAGAGAGTTCCGGGGGTCAACGCCCCCGCGGCCCGGTCTGAGACCAGGCCTCCTGGTGGATCAGAGCCTGATCAACCAGGCTGTTGCTGCTGGCTGCACGCAAACCAACATACGAGCCACAGCCCGGCTGATCCGGAACTGACTTTAGGTGCTTGTCCAGTGCCAGCTTGAAGACTGCCAGGGGTCTGTTGGTAATCCCCCTTATGTGTGCTGGGAGGCAGTTGAACAGTCTCGGGCCCCTGACACTTATTGTATGGTCTCTTAACGTGCTAGTGACACCCCTGCTTTTCATTGGGGGGATGGTGCATCGTCTGCCAAGTCTTTTGCTTTCGTAGTGGGTGATTTTCGTGTGCAAGTTCGGTACTAGTCCCTCTAGGATTTTCCAGGTGTATATAATCATGTATCTCTCCCTCCTGCGTTCCAGGGAATACAGGTTTAGGAACCTCAAGCGCTCCCAATAATTGAGGTGTTTTATCTCCGTTATGCGCGCCGTGAAAGTTCTCTGTACATTTTCTAGGTCGGCAATTTCACCTGCCTTGAAAGGTGCTGCTAGTGTGCAGCAATATTCCAGCCTAGATAGAACAAGTGACCTAAAGAGTGTCATCGTGGGCTTGGCCTCCCTAGTTTTGAAGGTTCTCATTATCCATCCTGTCATTTTTCTAGCAGATGCGATTGATACAGTGTTATGGTCCTTGAAGGTGAGATCCTCCGACATGATCACTCCCAGGTCTTTGACGTTGGTGTTTCACTGAAGTATCCCAACCCATCCTTCACAGTGTCCTCCACACTGAAGTATCCCCACCCATCCTTCACAGTGTCCTCCACACTGAAGTATCCCCACCCATCCTTCAGAGTGTCCTCCATACTGAAGTATCCCCACCCATCCTTCAGAGTGTCCTCCACACTAAAGTATCCCACCCATCCTTCAGAGTGTCCTCCACACTGAAGTATCCCCACTCATCCTTCAGAGTGTCCTCCACACTGAAGTATCCCCACTCATCCTTCAGAGTGTCCTCCACACTGAAGTATCCCCACTCATCCTTCAGAGTGTCCCCTTTTTTTTTATTTTTTTTTTTTTTTTCCCCCCCCCCCCCTTTTTGCCCCCGGTAACATAAAGATTGTAATCATTTTAAATCATACAATTAAAATATTATGGGATTAAGTTTTGGTTAATTGATTTCAAATGTATCCATAACATAACTAATAAAATAAATGTTTACCTGCATTCGTGGCATGACATTTGTTCATGTAGGGCTCCAGCGCTTGGGCTTGTGATGAGGAATGAAATACTGGAGGTGGTGTCTTCCTGTACTTCATACCTCTTTGGTGATGGTGGTGAGGTATGTGGTTACAGTGTGCAGAGAACAGTTGTAACTTCCTGCAGGGTGGCCTGGGTGCCAGTGTGGCTTGGTGCCAGTGTGGCCTGGGTGCCAGTGTGGCCTGGGTGCCAGTGTGGCCTGGGTGCCAGTGTGGCCTGGGTGCCAGTGTGGCCTGGGTGCCAGTGTGGCCTGGGTGCCAGTGTGGCTTGGTGCCAGTGTGGCCTGGGTGCCTGCAACGACAATAGGAAAGATTTGCAAAACTAAGTTTATGGCGAGGCAAATAAAAAAAAAACAGTATTACCAGATACAGAAATGTATACAGTCTGCATAAAACCAATAAAGCCTTTAAATTACAAGGAATGCCTAAAAATTCTAAAAATATACTCCGTGGAACACAGGAGAGAGACATACATGATAATATATACTTGGAAGGTGATGCCATAACAAAATACTAGGTGAAAGAAATAGGAGAAACATAAAATAAAACCAGTTTTTAAAATCAGGGGTACCATGGACACAATAAGAGATCCTTGTGTCAACATTCATGGGTCAAGATTATTCAACACTCGACAGGTACCTCTATCAAGTGGCATATGACTCAGACTGAAGGCTATGAAGGTCAGTGGGTTGCCAGCAGCAACAGACTGGGTGATCAAACGAGCACTGGCACAAGACTGGCCCAGGTTGTGGCAGCTGAAACTGCCATATAAAAGATAAAATAATGGAACGTGTATGGTAGATACTAAGACATGGGGATTTATATCTACGTTAGATATACCAAGTGCATAGTATGTGCACAGGCTTGGTTTCCGTTTGCCTTGGGTTTCTGTGACTGTATTCCCTGTTGGTGCATGTTTCCCTGTGGGAGCTCCATTGTTGGTGCTAGGGAGGATAGAAGTAAGACAGGGAAACATGCACCAACAGGGAATACAATCACAGAAACCCAAGGCAAACGGAAACCAAGCCTGTGCACGTACTATGCACTTGGTATCTGCTGGCATGGAAAATCTGGAAAAACAGATGGGACGTGCAACTATGACCACCCTAGAAAATGCCATGCCCATATAAGAAAGAACATAAGAACGAAGGAACACTGCAGAAGGCCTACTGGCCCATGCGAGGCAGGTCCAAGTCCCTACCGGCTTAAGCCAATGCACCCAACCTAGTCAGGTCAGGTCACATTGACTTAAGGGAGGAACACGGCAACCGACCTGTTAGCACAAGCTATCAGGTCCAACTCACACCCACCCACATCTACTCATGTATTTATCCAACCTATTTTTAAAGCTACACAACGTTCTGGCCTCTATAACGGTACTTGGGAGTTTGTTCCACTCATCCACAACTCTATTACCAAACCAGTACTTTCCTATATCCCTCCTGAATCTGAATTTTTCCAACTTAAAACCATTGCTGCGAGTCCTGTCTAGGCTAGATATTTTCAGCACACTATTTACATCCCCTTTATTTATTCCTGTCTTCCACTTATAAACCTCAATCATATCCCCCTAATTCTACGTCTTTCTAGAGAGTGCATTTTTCAGGGCCCTTAGTCTATCCTCATAGGGAAAGGGTTTCTGATACAGGGGATCATCTTTGTCATCCTCCTTTGTACATTTTCCAAGAATTTATATCCATTCTGTAATAGGGTGACCAAAACTGTGCAGCATAATCTAAATGAGGCCTAACCAAGGATGTATAGAGTTGAAGAACAACCTGAGGACTCCTATTATTTATGCTTCTTAAATATGAAGCCAAGGATTCTATTACTTTATTGCGAACATTTTATGCACTGTTGTCTTGGTTTCAGATTACTGCTAACCAGAACTCCTAAATCTTTTTCGAAATCCGTAATATTAAGATCTACATTATTTAGTTTATATGTGGCATGGTTATTGTCCTGTCCAACATTTAGAACTTTGCATTTGTCTATATTAAACTGCATCTGCCACTTCTCCGACCACTGCATCAGTCTATTCAAATCTTCCTGGAGTGCTCGAATGTCCTCGTCAGAATGAATTCGACGGCCTATTTTGGTGTCATCGGCAAACTTGCCGATGTCGCTCTTTATGCCCTCATCTATGTCGTTTATGTAGATTGTGAACAGCAGGGGGCCCAACACTGACCCCTGTGGAACACCGCTCGTGACGCTTCCCCACTCTGATTTCTCCCCCCCAGGAAAATGCAAACTCCCTTCCTGTAAGCTTTTCACCCTGAACTGTGTACCTCTTCAGTACAGGAAAGACTGTGCTATAACTTAAATTGCCAGGCATACCATCTAAAGAGGACAAAAAGATACAAAACATCCAGGCCATGGGAAAACCTGGGTAGCCACAGCCACTCAAGAGGGAGAGGTTTTTTAGTGCCAGGAAGGAAAAAAAACTGGCAGGAAATGGCAGAAATCGTACACCAAATCCAGTCATTCCTGGAGTGGAACCACAGTCGATGGCCTCCACTCCAAACCAACAGATACAGATACTAATGCCGGAAAAAAATCCCCCCCCCCCCAGTACCAACAACACCACCAGTCCGATAACATTCTTCTTTGCAAATATACAGGGTCTAAAGCCAGCAACAAACAAAATACCTTTCATCCGTGGACTGCTTGCAGAGGCAAAGGCAATGTTCGCGGCTTTCACCGAGACCCACATAAAGGATCACTTCGACAACGAAATATGGATCCCAGGTTACAACCTATACAGATGTGACAGAGTTAACAGGCAAAATGGGGGGGGGGGTTGGCCTGTACATTGCAGAGTCACTTGTTTGCACAGAACTGCTTAATGCCTCAAATGATGTAGTGGAAGTTTTAGCAGTAAAGGTCGAGAACCAAAACCTAGTCTTTGTGGTAGTCTACAAGCCTCCGGATGCAACATCCCAGCAATTCCAGGAACAGCTGTTAAAAATTGACCACTGTCTGGAAAATCTTCCAGCTCCTGCACCCAACATCTTGCTCTTGGGGGATTTCAACTTAAGGCACCTAAAATGGAGGAATATAGCAAATAATATTGTTGCAGTAATAACACCAGGAGGCAGCTCTGATAAAAAACTCACACTCACACGAGCTTTTAAATCTCTGCACAAAATTTAATTTAAACCAGCAAATAATAGAGCCTACTAGACTGGAGAATACACTCGACCTCATCTTCACTAACAATGATGATCTGATAAGAAATGTCACCATATCAAAAACATATACTCAGATCACAACATAATTGAGGTTCAGACATGTATGCGTGGAGCCCCAGACCGACATAATGAGACTAGTCACGAGGGAGCATTCACCAAATTCAACTTCAATAACAAAAACATAAAGTGGGGCCAAGTAAACCAAGTCCTAACCGATATAAGCTGGGAAGATATACTAAGCAACACAGACCCCAACTTATGCCTAGAACAGATTAACTCGGTGGCACTCGATGTACACACAAGGCTTATTCCTCTAAGAAAAAGGAGGAGTAGATGTAAAATAGAAAGAGACAGGTGTTCCCTTTACAGGCGATGGAAAAGAATAACAGAGCAGCTAAAAGAGGTCAATATATCTGAAATGCGTAGGGAGACACTGGTCAGAGAAATAGCAAGCATCGAACTTAAGCTAAAAGAATCCTTTAGGAGTCAGGAATCGCGGGAAGAACTAAAAGCCATAAATGAAGTCGAAAGAAACCCAAAGTATTTCTTCTCCTATGCCAAATCAAAATCGAGAACAACGTCCAGTATTGGGCCCCTACTTAAACAAGATGGGTCCTACACAGATGACAGCAAGGAAATGAGTGAGCTACTCAAGTCCCAATATGACTCAGTTTTTAGCAAGCCCCTAACCAGACTGAGAGTCGAAGATCAAAATGAACCATACCCCCGGCCGGGATTGAACCCGCGGTCATAGAGTCTCAAAACTCCAGCCCGTCGCGGCCACGCTAGCTGGAGATTCGTCTGTAAAAACTTGCATTTGTGGTCACAGAGGTGCCTGTGCTAACCTTCCTATGGTGTAGAAATATACCTAGTTGGATGAATCTTATTGTGGCTAGCTGGTCTGGTGGTTAGCGCGACGGGCTGGAGTTTTGAGACTCTATGACCGCGGGTTCAATCCCGGCCGGGGGTATGGTTTATTTGCAATCGTGTCATTACGATTTCTTAAGTCATCAAAATGAATTTTTTATGAGAGAGCCACAAAATTTGATTAACACAAGCCTATCCGATGTTATCCTGACGCCAAATGACTTCGAACAGGCGATAAATGACAATGCCCATGCACTCTGCCCCAGGGCCAGACTCATAGAACTCTCTGTTCATCAAGAACTGCAAGAAGCCCCTATCACGAGCCTTTTCCATCCTATGGAGAGGGAGCATGGACACGGGGCTCGTTCCACAGTTACTAAAAACAACCCACTCCACAAAGGGGGCAGTAAAGCAACAGCAAAGAACTACAGACCAATAGCACTAACATCCCATATCATAAAAATCTTTGAAAGGGTCCTAAGAAGCAAGATCACCACCCATCTAGAAACCCATCAGTTACACAACCCAGGGCAACATGGGTTTAGAACAGGTCGCTCCTGTCTGTCTCAACTATTGGATCACTACGACAAGGTCCTAAATGCACTAGAAGACAAAAAGAATGCAGATGTAATATATACAGACTTTGCAAAAGCCTTCGACAAGTGTGACCATGGCGTAATAGCGCACAAAATGCGTGCTAAAGGAATAACAGGAAAAGTCGGTCGATGGATCTATAATTTCCTCACTAACAGAACACAGAGAGTAGTCGTCAACAGAGTAAAGTCCGAGGCAGCTACGGTGAAAAGCTCTGTTCCACAAGGCACAGTACTCGCTCCCATCTTGTTCCTCATCCTCATATCCGACAGACAAGGATGTCAGCCATCAGAGTACAAAAATTCTGGCCACAAAATAGAGCGAAACACAAACGTCAAAGACCTGGGAGTGATCATGTCGGAGGATCTCACCTTCAAGGACCATAACATTGTATCAATCGCATCTGCTAGAAAAATGACAGGATGGATAATAGAACCTTCAAAACTAGGGAGGCCAAGCCCATGATGACACTTTTCAGTCACTTGTTTCTAATCTAGGCTGGAATATTTGCTGCACACTAACAGCACCTTTCAAGGCAGGTGAAATTGCCGACCTAGAAAATGTACAGAGAACTTTCACGGCGCGCATAACGGAGATAAAACACCTCAATTACTGGAAGCGCTTGAGTTCCTAAACCTGT